AAGTACTTTAAACTGTATAAATAATATAAAATTAAATTAAATTTATTAGCCAATCAGACAAACTTCTGCCTATGAGTACTAGATCTATTTTTTGTATAACTAATAATCGAGAGAGCAGTCATATAATACCAAATTGAGATTCATTATTAGATAATTTACTCGCATATTATCATATGATCTGATCATTTTTGTTATAGCTAGGGTACTTAATATTCTGAAAGTTACTTATCTGAAAAAATTAAGAAGTTTGAAAATTATGTGACTGCTTCCTCAATTATTGGTAATACTAGTATTTTTACTTTTTGTTGTTATCAGAAAAAATTTTAAATTTGAAAAATTAAATTCATTATATTTATTTAGATATAACTAATTTATATAAGCAATTAATCACTAGTATTTTGCAATTAATAAAATCAACATTGTATAGTTAAATTTTTAATAATATATTCAATTTGTGATATATTAAATTCTGAAATTTTGTAAGCACTAAAAATACTAACTCTCTTAACTTTATTAATATCTATTTTCTTAAATAAGGTATAAACTTTATTTGTCTTTTCTTCCTTTTTTTTCAAAGCAAACTGTGTTATATTAGTGAAATGACTTAAAAGTTTATCATATACTTCAGTTGTTGCTGCTTTTTTCAAACTTCTATGTTTAGAATTTTTTTGATTCCTTAATATTTGATTAATCTGTTTGTCAAGCTTATTCGCAAATTCATATCAACTTCTAATTACTACTTGATTTGCTTTAGATGTATCACTTTCAGCACAGATTATATTTGTATAAAGTTGGATTAACTGTAATATATTACTGTTATTGTTTTTATTATTATTAATATTATTATTGTTATTAATATTATTATTATCTTCTTTTCTAATAGGATTGTTTAGTTCTCTCAATAGTTGTATCATTTGGGCTTTTTTAGATATGTTATTAGATTTGATTCTTTTAGATATTGTTTTAGATTTGTTTTTTTTGGATATTGATTTAGTAGACTTGGTTGTAGATATTGATATTTTACCAGATTCAATTGACACAATAGGTGCAGAAGCAGAAATAGTAGGTTTAACAAAAATAATAGGTTTTGTAAATTCTGCTAATAAAAAAGAAATGATAGATTTAGTAGATTCTGCTAGTATAAAAGAGATGAAAAGTTTGATGAATTCAACAAGTATACTATTAGTAGATTCATTAGAATCTGTAGATTCAATAGATTTTATATTAATGATAGGTTTGGTATATTCGGTAGCATAGGAGGTTCAATAGGTTCGGTAAATATGGTGGGTTTGGTATAATCAGTAAATGAAGTAGAAATTACAACATGTTCTAAATTTAAAAATAAGCTAATAGAACAGTTACTTTTTTGATGATCAACCGGTATATTTTCAATACCATTAGATGTTTCTTGACATAGCAGACACTTTTTTCTAATACAATCTTTATAGTAAAAATGCTTATAATTTAAAATTATAACTGCTTCTTTAATACTTAGATTAATAGCACCTTTGTATATCATGCAAATAATATTTTTTGTTATATCAATATTTGGCGAAATACCTTCAGGTTCTTTGTAGAAAATAACTTTATAACAAAATTAGTTTAAGGATTCTATATTTGTCTTTTTAAAAAAAGGTAACCTATATATTTATATTTATAACTAACTAATGATATTAAATTAACTCAATCTTATAATGATGAATATACAATATATATATTAGTTATATAATATCATTAAATATTAAACTTTTTTTATATATAATACGTATCATTATAGTTTATTCTCTAATTAGATAATTGATCGATATATCGATCACTATATTTTTAAGAATTAAAAATATTATGCGTACTGTTATATATATATAATACATTTTGTATAAGCTATAGATTTTTCTTATATATAATATCAACATAGTTTATTTTCTAATTAGATAATTGATCGATATATCGATCACTATATTTTTAAGAGTTAAAGTATTATGCGTACTATTACGTATAATATATTTTGTATAAGCTAATTAGAATCTAATACATAAAATCAGGGTTGGCTAATAAACCAAAATGTGGCTTAGTAGCTACTAATAGACTATGTCTATTGATAGTGTATATTATAGTCTATTGCCAACCTTTAGGCAGAAGTTTGTTTGATTGGCTAATAAATTTAATTTTATATTGTTTACAGTTTAGAGTACTTTTTTAAAAAAACAAAAACTAATCATAAT